ATGCGCTTACACCTTACGTCACGGTACTCGCGGGTGCGTAGCTGTCATCGCTGTTGGTTTACGTCTTACGACAGGAACCACTTGCCACGAGAGACGGGAGTGACGGGAGCTGTCAAAATGTTCGGTAAGAGTGCGGCAATTTATTAACGCAGTCAAAATTTTGTATTTTTATAGATGCCAATCGAAATGAATGGCAACACGTCAGCGCGTTTTTATTTCTTCCTTCTTTATCAGGTTGTTGTTGGTGTTGTGCTGCATTACGTCCGCGATACAAGAGGCTCGTTGACAATATCTTTCCGGTTAATCCCCAGGTAAGATCTTCGTCTTCTCTCTTTTTTTCCCCTTTTCTCTCGTCTCGTACAGTTCGGTTTCTCTCCGGTATATAACTTTCCTCACGTAGCAAATCAATAAACGCTGTCCTTGATAGGCGGAAGAGACCAAAATGATTATTCTATTTATGGTTGAACCTATGATATTTGCGCCGAATGAGAAATCTTAACTGACACGTGTCTCGCACGCGACCATCTCTATTAATGTACTTCTCTGCTCTTCCAGGATGGCTTGATTAAAAATAATATGGAAAAACTGACGTTCTATTCATTGAGCAGCCCTGAGAAATTGGACAGGATTGGAGAATACCTATTTCAACGGGCTTCCAGAGATATTTACAGGTAATATAAAACATGACGCGATATAATTACATCTTTTCTTAGTGCAATATACACAAATGGTTATGTTGCAACACCTGTTATGTAAACCGATTACACGCTGCTGTGTACATAAGAATTAAAAAAATTAATCCCAGTTACTATTGCAAACATGACTGGCAATAATTCAGTACATCTATACATTGCATGCTGATGTATCTAACGATGCATATACAAAACAAGAATGTCCTGTCTGATAAGGAATTATGTTCTGATAGGAGACGAAACGGCTTTGTTGTGATTGCCATGGAGGCGATGGACCAGCTCCTGGTGGCTTGTCACGCGCAAACTCTGAATCTATTTGTCGAGAGTTTCTTAAAAATGGTACAAAAACTGCTGGAATCCACGGATCCCCAGTTACAAATTCTTGCAACGCAGTCTGTAAGCGATAATCATTAGTGAATTGACATTACTATAGCCAGATCTATCCACTTAACAAACCGACTTGCAGTTCGTCAGATTTGCCAACATCGAGGAAGATACGCCCTCGTATCACACTCGTTACGACTTCTTCGTGTCGAAATACTCGGCAATGTGCCATTCCAATAACGACGACCCCACTACGCGCAAGCAAATTAGGCTTGCCGGAATTCAAGGACTGCAGGTATGGACACCCTGCCGAATATTATATATCGAATTATCGTTTACGTTGAAACTTGTGCGCATCTGTATGTTCAAATATATCTTTCTAGGGTGTTGTAAGAAAAACTCTCTCTGACGATCTGGTCGAGAATATCTGGGAACCTGTACATATGGACAAGATTGTACCATCATTACTGTATAATATGCAAAATTCAAGGTAATTTAAATGAAATGAATATCGTGAAACGCGCACACATTGACGAATTTGCACCTTTAGATATGCTGATAAAGAAGACGCTACACCAGACAGCCCGACCGAAGAACGATTGGATCCGCCGCAATTTGCGGAAACTTGCATGCGAGAATTGATTGGGCGCGCGTCATTCGGTCATATTAGATGTGTTATAAGACCTGTATTAAGGTACGAAATATCAATTTCTTAAGAAGTAATGTATATGTTTATGCACATTAGATATTTAATAAGTATCTATATTATAGGCATCTGGACAACCACCAGTTATGGGTCCCCAACTACTTCGCGATTCATACTTTCAGAATAATTATGTTTTCCATCCAAGTATGTAACGATATAAATCAAGTATAGTATTTGATGCATTAGAGATAATTAATAATATTTGATGTATATTTCAGTCGCAATATTCCTATACTGTAGTGGAAGCTTTAATGACGCATCTTGACGATCACTCCAAGTCGTCCCCTAAGATTCGCACTAGCATTGCGGATACTTTATCGAAGATTATATCAATTGCTGCGGGTGAAAGTGTTGGTAAGTAGGAAAATCGATTGGATCCAGTGTACATTTTATTCTTTAACGTAAATTTATATGCATAAGCGATAATTATTGAATGCTACTAGCATTAGCTCTTAACAATATGTGTTTTTTTGTCTAGGACCATCCGTATTAGAGATTATAAATTCCTTATTGTCCCACCTACGGGTTAGTGTAACGAGGAACCAATCGTCAAGTAGTGACGAGCAATTGTATCAAGAAGCTCTTATTAATGCCCTTGGAGAGTTCGCGAACCATCTTCCGGATTATCAGAAAATTGAGATTATGATGTTCATTATGAGTAAAGTTCCATACAGCCAGCCAGATCGTATCGTATCGGTCGGCAAGGGAGATGTGTTGCTTCAGAGCATACTTTTAAAGTCGTTGTTAAAGGTAAAGCGTTTTTGTTATTGTATAAAATTATAAATGTAAGGTATAGATTTAATTACGGATATTTTGTTTGTGCACAGGTTGGTACCAAGTATCAAACTATCCACTTGAACACGACGTTCCCACCTAGTTTCTTGGACCCGTTACTGAGAATGTCACTGGCAGCAGACGCTGAAATGAGGCTTCTTGTACAGAAAATATTTCACACCTTAATCGACCGACGTCGGAATATTACAAAACTCGCTAAACCAACGTAAGTTTATCTCTTAAATAATCATTTCATCAAATGTTTAGCTGTTAATATATGTTGTTCTTAATAACTTTTTTCTGCATAGGGTGAACGTAGTAGAGCTCGATCTCGCTATTGAAAAAGCGTCCAGACCCGATGTAATCTTTATTCGAAAGCACGGCCCTGAAATCTACTTAGCGCTGTATGAATCATTAGAACTGTCTAGTAACACGGTAGAAAATGTGGAATCTATTTATACCACGTTGGCATTACTTGCCATTGAATTGGCTTCCGAGGAAACAGTATTAGAGTTACTGAGATTGGTGTTGAGCCTGCAAGACTTGGCATTGACAAGTGGTCAAATTAGTCTTCCACTTAAATTCAACTTACACGCAATAGTTATCAGCCTACTAATCTTAATATCATACGTCTGTAATATTACCGCCCTAATGGATTATGCGAAAAAGGTAGGTGATTTCGAGAATTTAACTTCAAGAATTTATTTTATATAAAGTAACCAAGTATTGTTAAAATTAAAATGCGCAATTGACTGAATGAATCCCGTTTGAAGGTGGTAGAAGCGCGTCGAAACGACAGCCCGCATTTGCTACCAGATTTACAATCTCAGTATGATAATGGTCTAACATCCAGATTAGCGCCAACTCTTTTAGTCGACCAAACTGTTGTCAGCGAATGCCTAAAGGGAGCTGGCCTTGATAGTGGGAAATTACAACAAGGTTCGGGTTACAGCGGCAATTCTTTACAACACAGGTAATTTTACCTACTAAATATAGTAGTCCGATCAGCTAAACATTAAGCATTAGAAAATGTTGCTTCGTTTTATGTATAAGATTTTATAATGTAAAATTAAATTTTCTTTGCTAGGCATTCATGGGTTGATGCTGGACGGAATTCACTAGCTGATATTAATTCTGGAGGTCCAGAATTGGATAGTGGAGGTTCATCACCAGGTGTGCAAAAGGTACGATTTACATTTTAATTTATATTAAGTTGGGAGAGATCTATGATTATTTGATACCATAATCGTTATTATTTTTTAAATTTTCTTTATTATGTTATTATTGCATAATTTTAACCGTTATCTTTAACCTTATCCATAATTTGTTGCAGAAGTTACCTGGAGAAGAATTAACGTTCGAAAGCATGAAGAGAATTTTGACAGAAAGCAACAATAATCAAGTAGTAGAAGAAGAGAAGCGAATGCAACTTTCTCAGTTCTTTAGAAACGCGCCATTCCAGGATTTGGTGTCAAAAACACAACCAAAGGTGGCATTAATTAGCGCATATAATATTAACACAGCAATTATGCAACTTTCTAATCTTTCCTTTCCTGTTCACAGCACGATGTGTTACAGAGCAAGCTGTCAGAGATATTTAATACACTGTCCGTCGATCCGCGCAACACGATTCCCACAACCGGACCACAAACGGATACTAAACCAAGTCAAACCCCAGCTTACGAAATTCATTTCCCAGAGTTGTTTGTATATTAAACTGCTAATATTATTGTTACATTAACGTAGTGTTGCATTATATTGAATCTTCTACATGTTACCGAGTATGTACGAACAAGTAGCTCCTATACTTTAAAGATTGACTTATGTACATAACAGAGAAAATATTTTTATGTTTCATATATTGTTAGATATATATATATATATTTTTTTTTTTTATTGAAGTTGATAAGTTGCTCGTATTAATTTATTTTTAATGAGTAAATATCAAATATATGAGTTATGATGAAAATGGTTAACAAGTATTTTTTATAAAATCACCAATGATTTTATAGAATCAGATAATATATAAAAAGACAGGAATTTTTCTTACACATATAATGATTCTATAAAATCACTAGATTTCATAAAATTACCGAATCAACTGTTTTCATTAATACAAGTTGACTTTGATTAATATGTCGATACTTCAGCGGAGGAATTTAGAACACAAAAGAAAAAAAAGCTTCACATGAGCATCGACATAATCAGGAGTCATTCTACACGTAAATCAGTAAATTCAACACAAATTATAACATAATGTGGATGTATGTATGTATGTTTCAGCAATAGGCCAATTAAATGTGCACTGTTATTTAATTATGTTAATGTAAAGTTAAAAAAGAAGTTGTATATCTGTGCATATCTTTTTATGTATATTCTAGATCGGAAAACAGTATTTTCTTTCACGGCAAAGTCCGCGATTGAAAAAAGTTGCACAATGTATATTTATAAATATAGAAAAATGGTTCGAAATATTTTGTAAATATATATTAAAACACATGTTGTCAACCTGGAAAAAGATTTATTATAGTGCAATGCTTATCCTTCTTACATTTGTGTTTCCAATTACTTGTTCATACAATATATGAAAAAAATGATGTATAATGCTCGAGGAAGCAGAGAAAGATAGAAACTTTTTATTGCAGTTTATTCTATGAAAACCTGCAGCGTTACATTATCAATTGTTCTTTTTCTTTATTGAATCTTTGTACAAAATACTATAGAAGGATCACCGAAAACACGTGGTAAATGGAATGAACACAGGTTAAATTTTCATAAATATCTGGAGGGTCCCTTTATTCAACCGCTCATTAATAGGAACACGATTAGTCGAGTTTCAAATCAAGTACACAAGTTAAGTAGCATCTCTTGGAGAGCAGGTAATCGAACTACATATATTAATACACGACCTTACAGTCCTAACAGCTATGCGACAATGTTTGAGAGTATTGATCCGCAATTTATACATTGTATAAATTGTACGTCGTTTCTTTGTGGTCCGTCAGGGGGTGGGGGGGAACCGACTTTTCCAACTCCTCCATATATTACTTCGCGAAAATCGCAAATATAGCTTTTAATGTACGAGCGATTGAATTAAGGCATTAGAGTAGGATGTGCCATTCGTGCAACGACTACTTAACATAATTTGATAAGTTTCATTTTTTTTTTCATTTTTTCTTTCTTGAAATGCGTTTGGTCAAGTTTGGTACACTCTAAGAGGTATTTCAAGGCTCCACCTTCAGAAGCTCCACGTCGAAGATGAGAACGGCATTTGGCGGGATAGTGTGTCTTTGTCAAGGTTAATATAGTTTGCCTTGTTTTCTATCAATACGTTCGCTGCCCATCACGCGCCAGCGTGAGACTCATAAATAGCCGGTCACGCGCCAGCGCGTGATGGATCTATGTTTACTATAATAATTTTTGACATTGACTTCCACAGTCGATGTGCCCTTTCAAATGGACAGCAAACATGTTAAATAGAATAATTAAAATGATAAAAATAACTTCCATTTCACGATGTTCAATCTTACATCATGTATTCTATATATTACGTACTCTATATTATTATTCATTATGCATTAAAGGATATATTCCAGGGTGGCCTCGGCTACCATAAGCGAAGTCTGGAGAGCAGGTCAGCTTGGCCCGCTGCCCGACGCACATTTGTGCAACCCCTTGGTCCCAGCCTTTAATTACCTCGCCCTTGCCAATTTTGAACTTAAACGGTATACCACGGTCCCTGCTGGAATCAAATTTCTTCCCATTGGCAAGGGTACCTGTAAACACATACGTTTGTGATAAAGGAATCTCCAATTACGGTTGACTGAGTATTTATAAATAGCGAAACTATTTTTATACAATGTTACAGTTTTACTAATTATTCACAGAGACGAATGCACGCCGTTAGAATACTTTCATATGGGTGCAATAAAATATTCAAATTTCACCTGTATAATGCACGACTACTGTTTGCCCAGTCTTTGGGTAGGTTTGACCTGCAAACACAAAAATATTTATGAAATGTATATGTACATACATATTGGACGATGAAATCTGAGCATGCATCGCGTTTAAAATTAGTAGCAGCATAAATAAGGTAAAATCGCATCGTCGCTCAGAGTCCATTTTATATGTTGAATAAAGAAACGCCGTTGCCACGCTCGCGTTCGCGGCATTTCACACGAGACGAGATAAAGCACGTTGGAAGAGTAAAACGCTAAATTTTCGTATCATCAAGCATGTAGCGTGGCGCGCGCGCGCGTGCACGCGACACGAGAAAGGATAGAGAGAAGGAATTGCGAAACGGGAGAGAGATTCTCCCGAGGAGGGAGAACGACGAAATTTGGCTCGAGTCCCTAAGAAAAATAAAACTGCATAATTACCGTCTCCAGGATTCAAGACTTCGACATCCACGCCCATGGCTGCGTGATCCTTTCTCCTCGTGCTACGGCTGGAAAGCTGTATCCCCCTCGGAATGGCGAGTTGCGCTCGTAGATCGTCGAGACTCAGGACTTGAATCGGAATCGACTTACGTCGGACGATCGAACGAAAACTCACCGTGAGAAGCAACTATTTGCGGTGCCTTGGAAAAAGATACCGCTCCACTACGCCGTTTAACGAATAAAGGCCGGACATACGAGATACCTAGAGTACCATTCGACGTATGAAAATAATCTCTAACTCGGACGTCGAATGAAACCAGAAGGTGGCGGTTCAGTGCTGTGGAGGATAGAGAGCCTCTAATCAGAGTGGCGCCATATAGCTGCCACTTTTGATTGGTCCGCCATTTTCTTGCCATTCCCGCAGTTTTTCAAACGAATTATTTTCTAAATTTTATATTTATATTTAAAAATGCTTCGAAAAATTGCAACAAATGAAAAAATAATAACAAATAAACTTTGTAATTGCAAAATGTTATTTATTGCTAATTATTGCACATTTGCTACAAAATAATATTATTCATTACACATTATTTG